ACGCGCGAACAGAATGCTTGCTGTCAAAATAAAAGCGGATTCACGTCCAGCCCTTAAGGTCTTTCTGAGGTTCACGCGTAGCGCCCACGTAATTATAGCTCATATTATTCTCGAAGCGAAGAGGCAAACGGAGAATAGAGTAAATATATTTTTTCATTGTATCCTCTTTTTCCCTCAAATCGATGTGAACCGATGTGAGGAGATTATAATGTCATTTCTCAAATGATCTTGGAATAACAGGGAAAATAAATGCTAACATTATTCGAAAATTCAAGATTTAATTGTTATTCGAGTGTAATAATCATTCACTAAAGAAATTAACTAGTCTAACGATCGATATATTGAATAATTTACTGGCACATTCCTTCTTATTTTTATACAATATATATTAATTATTTATATATAGCTTTTTGTCAATGTATTTCTTGCAGAAACTTTCCTTTCCTTATTTACAATGCCATGTATGTATGTACATAAGCATTATGTACTCGAGATGTTAAATACGTAAGAGTATCGACAGCCCATCAACAGATTTAAACCTATCGTGATTGCGCCGTTCGAAACAGTTGATGTGTATTATCGGTTGATATTTCCGCGCGTTACGTCGTCGACTCAATAAAAGCGCGAGCGAACGGTCGCAATCCATGAATGAGTTTCCGCGATGGTGGGAAACTTTGGCAAGTGGTTTAAGTACCAACAGCAGCAGCAGCAGCAACGTGCAGCGGTGGAAACGATTCCCGGTATCTTTCGTCTTCTGTCCACTCGGCGTTGGCCTTCTCATCGAGCTCTCGATTTCTTGGCTCGCGTGCAATTTCAATTATCCGCCGAGCAACGTGAGAACGTGATTCGACGGCTCGATCTACCTGGTGACGTCTGCAGAAGGTCGAGGCGATCGTGACGGATTCTCTCGTAGGAAATGAAATTACGTACAACGACGTGAGCGGTCAACTTTGTTTTCCATGTGAATAACGATGGCAATTTTTTTACCGTCAGCTACTGCGATATAATTATAAATAATCTATCCTGAAAAATTATAAATAACTCATCCTGAAATATAAGCTTATTTTATTGAGTCATCAATTTTGTAGAAGCTTAATTTCTCTTTCGCAGAAATAAATTAGACTTTTACAAAATTGATGACTCAGTGAAATAAAGTTATAGGTATTTCAGGATGAGTTATTTTATAATTTTTCAGGATAGATTATTTGTAATTATGCTTAATAGTATTCATATTATTATTAATTAGTAAGCTGTTTAATTACATCCATATTAATATTCATATTATTAATAAGTAAACCGTTTAATTACATCGTTTCATTCAATGTATGTCGAATATGATAGGATTTCTGAAAGATAAATCGACAATGACGTGTACGATAACTTGAAAATTATTTTCTTTTGATTTGCGATACTTTTGTGAATTATGATCGAATCTTTCTTCTTTTCCCACAAAGTCACATTACTTTCGTTCGGCGAAATACGATTCAGATGCCGACTTAGCTCGATCGAATTTCTCCTCGGAATTTTCCCTCGCTCGTTTTAATAGAATTCGTGGGGGACAATCTCAATTATTCATCGAGTACACGGAACTTTCCTCCATCTCTTTTCGCGCGCTAAAAATTCAAGGGAGCGATTCGCGGTACCGATGATTCACGACCGTCTAATTTTCCCGTGGCCGCGTTTACCCGACCGGCGGGAATTATTACTCGCGAATAATGGCGGCGGTGGCTGTGTGCCGCTCTGTCGGCGTTTAAAGCGGAGTTAAATATTTAAATCGGCGAAGACAGGCACGCGCCCACGTCCAACGCCTACCTCAACCATGAATCGCCACGCGGAATGTATCCTCGCTGCTGCAGCTGTCTCTCGTTCACGATCGCACGATATATGATCATTTGATCGAACAATCGCGTGACGCTATCCGAGATCCAAAAATTGTTCGTTTATATTCGCGAAACGATCTCCAAGCGCGCAGAACATGCCGTGCGTCTGCGGGTTAAAACGCCGAGAATAATTTAAGGTCGTGTTTACAAACCTTAGATAAAATTAACTAAGCTTTACCGGATTCTCTCTATCATTTTCCAATTCCGAAAAGAAAGAGATCAATTAACCGAAAGTCTTGGAATTGTGACCAAGATGTAAATTATTGTCTTTATTGATAAATAAAGGAATTACGATATATATATAGTTTTTTTTTTCTAATGATAAAATAATTTTATTTAAAACATGCGATATAATATAATATAGAAAAAAATGTTATAAAAAAAAAAACTTAAAATTATAGGTATTTTTTAATCTTATTATACCTATTGCCAATCTGCATTTAGTTTTATTTTGAAGGATACATATGGAAAAAGTTACGTCTGCCTAGCTGGTCTTCCCATTTAACCAAATCTTAATGAATAAATTATATAATGCACTATTTATGCGCTCTCCAAATCCACATTTTTTTTTTAGCTAAACGAAATAAGCGCAAAAATTTTTTTTTACGGATTTCGAGAGCGCATAAATAATCCATTATTATATAATTTATTCATTAAGATTTGATTAAGTGAGGGGGGAGAGAGGCCAGCTAGGCAGACATAAAAGTTGATGAATATCTTCTAATATTAATTTTTATTTTTAGCTTGATTCTGTAATATTTTCAACGTTTTACGTATTCGAGCTTCCCGTTCATTCATTATGCAATATGACATAGGGATCATCGGGTCGTACAGGGTGGCGATAAAGACACTCGTTCATTGAATTTATTTACAAAATAAGTAACAAGCATAATAAATTAATGTGACTTGGTAATCTCTCGTACATTTTCCGGTGCTTGGTGATAACGTAATAAGATTGTGCATATTATCGTTTGGTATCTATAAATTGCCGGATAAATATTTACAGCAATTTATTTATGGATTTGGAGAGTATTAAGAATTATGTGTGCGTGTGATACCAAAAAACGATAAACGTGTATATGTTATTTCTAGTTTATTCTTTCCTCATGTAAAGCTGTTTTATCTGTTATTTTAAAGCAAAAATTATCATTCCTAAAATAATTTCCATATACGAGTATTTTGTAAGAAGCATTAAAATTAAATAAATAAATAAAGCAGAGAGAGGAGACAAAAAAATTCGCACATATTTTTCAGTTAAAAAGCAAATTTTAATATATTATTATTATCATTATCATTTTTACATATTATTTAACATAAATAGTTATTACTATTTATACTTTAAATTTTTAAAAATGAAATCTTACTCAAAACAAGTAAAAATCCATTATAATTGATAATAAAAATAATACATTTTTGAAATGGAACGACATTTTATTTTTTAAGGATGAATGTTTAACTCTAATTATGTAAAATGAATGTTCCATTCGTTTGGAGTGAAACATTAGTTAAAATGACTTCGGTGAAAGAAGTTTTAATTTAAAAAAATTATTTAAACTCGGTATACATATACGTAGATTTTTGTCAGCATTTATCCGTGGAAAAAGCGTTGTCGATATTTCTATATTACATTGATTTTATAAAACAACATCGACGTGACAACGAGATGACGATCAATGCTACTCGCTTATTACCAATCTTCTTGCTTGGCACATGTGTACTGTTTCCAATTGTTATAGTTATGTTGAACATATCGAGTTTAAAGTTTTTAATAAAAAATATTTATTTTATGACGTAGATTGGAAGAATTTACTTTATATGAATGAAAAAAATCACTCCAACTTGAATAATTTAATAATCTTTCTATTTTTCAAATGGGATTTTTTTTTATTCTAAAAAATTAGACAGTGCTTAAAAGATATACTGTATAAAATATATCACCATGTATCAACAAGTATTTATTTCTTGATTACTCTAAATTTATTATTTTTTTCTGTGACTAAAGTATTGCTGTAGCAAAAACTGTAATAGCGAGTAATACTTTTTGATGCAAAGAAACGAAGGTTTTAAAGAAAGCCTTCGTTCTTTAATAAAATTCTTTGCAGTGCCCGCGCAATCATTGTCTAATTAAGTTTCGTTTCCTCACGCTTTGTAACAATTACGAGTAATCTATCAGTTAGTTGAGATCTATTAACAGAGAAGAGGAGGAAGGGATAGATGCGATCGCAGTACATGGATACACACACACATTTTTTCGATTCGATAAAGCAGAGCTTCGATGCTTTGGCCAACAGCCAAAGTGTGGGCGTTTACGAGAAGTAACGGAAAGGTGCGAGTTACGTCGTTCCGAATTGGCAGCTCCTTCCATTAATCGATCATGAGGAAGGATTTCTCGAGAAGTTTCTCCTCCTCTCCGCCCGTGTAATACACGATCGATCGTCTTTACTTAGGGATCGAAGGCATTTTGCCACAATATCCTCCGAGATAACACGATTAGTCACTAGAAATATATTTAAGGAACGACTGCATATAAGGATCTGGCAATATTTTACAAATCGCGGCCGCTTTGATTTATGATGTCGGACCTAAAGAGATAGATGAAGAACTTCTTACAAACGTGAATAATCGAATGTATTTTTTAGTCGTGTACGTTTTTGTTTCTTAATTTTTGTACTTTTAGAAATAAGGTTTACATATATAAAATAAAAATATACAAAAAAAAATTTTACTAAATTTTACTAAATTTTTGTTTAAATACTTTTGTTTGGATAGATACTAGCTAAATATTTACTAAATGGAAACAAATATTTATTTGGTACAAGTATCATTAATTTGATTTAACTATCACTTTTTTTTATCTAGTAAATATTCATTTACAATAAGTAAATGTTAAGTTAATAGTGTTTAAACAAATATTAAAATTTAACATATTTTTTTCTTAGTGTAGGCAATCTCTCTCGGGGAAAAAAATATTTATTAGTTATTTTATAAATAGAAATTCGATATATATATAAATATGTAAACACATTTGCACGTGCGACTGTTGTTAATTCTATAAATTACAAAGATATCTATAATCTGAATGTCAATGTTAACCTGGAATTTTTTTCTTTTTCATTTCAGGTAAGTGCATCACATTTTCCGGCCTGTTTCACCATCGTGCGTATATGTGAGCAGCATATGTTGTGTATGCGTTCGACGGGCGCGATACCAGGTTACGTATGCATAATAATCGCGTTTACCGGCTCTCGTCTGGCTGCTCATAGATATACCATTTTAATCTTCTTGCCTCCTATTCTTTTTATCTCTCTTCCTCTTTCTCTCTCTTTGTTTCTTTCATCGTTTTCTAGTTTCCTATGGAATTATCGACTTGCATTTTTTATAACTAAATACCTCACGTGAGCGGATATGAGGCAACATTCATTTTTTTATCACGATCTGCGATTGATTTTTTTATGTATTGCACTCCGACTTCTCAATAACCAATAACGCATGTTAATATTTTTTTCAATATGCAAAAATCCGAGAGAAAAACATTTTAAAGAAGTAATATATATTATTTTTATTTATTTAACCATGCAGATGCACAACGATTATCTTAAATTTTATATTACACGTGTACGTTTTAAAAGGACACTTTCGTATACACATTTTACATATTCGAGAAGACATTTACTCCATAGTACTTACAAAGAATCAAACGGTAAACTCGTTCCTCCTCCGTGACATTTCTCCACTAGGAACTCGTTAGCTGTGTTATCCGCTAATTTATTGTTTCACGGACTAATTCATTCCGCGTTCCTTGTTCGAGGGCATTATTCACGTCGCTCGGACGGAGTGGCACATGTATTTTTGTTCGAGACGTCATTACGTAAATCGTAGGCATCGGGTAGAAAAACCCTGCAAAATGCAGTTGTGCATTCAAAGCGCCGCGCGCGCGCGCGCGCGTTCCTGCTGCCAGCCTACGCGATCCGACGCTATGATTTATATTGCAACTTCGGTGAATTGCGCAAAGGCGCTCTGTACGGGAAAGCTGGAAGATGCGAGGAAGATAGTTTTTTCAGTTCGACGGTGAAAAGACTCGGCGGTATACACATTCGCAGCTTTTGTATTTCCAATACTGATCTCTCTCGCAATACAATTTGCACGAGGCCGATTAAATCTTTATACGAGATTTCAACTCGTGTCTCCCATGCATTTTTTTTCACCTGTAAACGTTTTGAATAATTTGGTTTTTTTTGGCCATGTTACATTGTGAAAAAGTTTTATATAAAATTGCATTTATAATGAATAATTTTTTGAGATTTACCATTAAAGATGTATATTTACACATGTAAGTAAAGTTACAACTTACGAATAGATTTATCTAATTAAACAATTTGTAAAAGTAAATTTACAGTTGTGAAATTAAGTTTATCGAAATATTTGTGAAAACATACAATTTTATATATTTCCATTGTAAATTGAGTTTTTATACATTATTTATGTAATTTTACATACTTTTTTTTTCAGTGTATTGACATTCTTACAATGAGCAGTGCTCTGTATTATAAGATTAATACATCGTGTATATAAATCAATCTGCCGAAAGTTAAAGAAAGAAAATGTATTCTAAATAAAAAAATATCTCTTTAAATAAGGTAACGCAAAGGAACCTGAAATTTGGTTTAGAATAAAAAATGCCTTTAAGAATATTTCTATTGGCATGCGACATTTTTGTGTATACGCTTTTCTTATCGCGAAGGACGACGATAATACACCAAATGGATGGATGAGCGAGCCTCAGCCGAATAATAAATTTGTGACGATAATTATTGCTAATGCCGTCATTACTGTTCTACGCGGTGACCGGCGATAACGCGTCGTCTCCTCTATTCGCAACAATGCTCTTCCAGCTTACCATGCATTGCATAGCATCGCGGTCACGTTTTCCCCATTAACGAGCGCTAAACGTTTACAATTCGATAAGAGACCTACCGTTATTGTCGATCTTGTTCTGTCCCACCGTTCTTGAATTTAGCGTCGCGCTCCGACGCGCCTCGTGGCGATTACGGAAACGCGCTCCCTGCGCTCCTGCGCCTCGGTGACTCTCCTCTTTTATTGTTGCCTGGAATTTTGATAAATCTCCCCCGCGCGCGAGCAAGCGCGAAAGCGCGGCCGCCCGGGGAATTTATTTGCCGAGTTTCGCGAGACTTTTCACGTTCCTCGTACGACGGCGCAGTAGTAGTAAGTCTTAAAATATAAATTAGCCGCGATAAGGCACCTTTGTCGGCTCTCCGCCCCTCTGCCGTAGCCTTGCGTGCCGCGAATCGTTCCAGAGACGGATTTAAAAGATGCAGCAAAAAAACTTTAATGACGACAAGCGATAATTCCTTTCGTGTTTTAAAATAACACTCTTTTTACGATAACACCGTCGGACGTTATTTCTCTTCTTAATTTTTCAATTTTTGATTTTATTATGCTCGATAAAATGGAGGACCAAATTATGATGTTACTGTAAACTATAACTTTATGTATTTTTATCATTACCTTTAGTTTTGGCAAAAATATCGTAAAATCTGTTAATAAACATCTTCGCGCTATTATCATTCAAGTATCTTAATATATTCTCTAATTAAGTAAATTATTAAAGTTAAAATTTGAAATATTTGTTAAAGGAATTGCAAAATAATTTTAGTTTAAAATATTTATTAATCTTTTGTAACGTTACATATTACAGAGAACGAAGGCACTTCTTTACTTGAATGTACTTTAGCCTAAGAAAAAAAGGATTTATTTAGCTGCGGCCCTGGAAAGTCGTATTCGTCTCTGGTCTATTCATGTTTCCTGCTCTGTGAAGTGTTATGCGTACGTATGTTTGTGTATATTTCTGTGTTGAAAGACACTCGATCGTATAACACTTGCAGGAGTCACACATAATCGCCAGACCGTGATCGTTACACGGGTAGGTAGTCATGTAAAAAAATTAACGCTTGTCCTCTAATTACGTTTTCGCGGTTAAAATTTGCACCTTAAATCACGCCGAGAAAAACGTAGACGAACGTCGGTTGCTTTACGGCGCGATTCTTATCCGACTCCTGAAATCGTAGGGACTCGCGTTATATCAGCACGACGGCGATGTTTTTCAACGTGCCGATTTGATAGTTATGTAAATACCATGACGTTTTCTGCCACGAAGCGTTAAAGTGCACGACATTTCATATAAATTCTGTATTTTACCGTTAACTTACCTGGCGTAAAAAATCTGATATGTTAAAATAGTCACACTCTAACCAGAACGTAAAAAGAATAATAAATACATCTCTTGGAGTTTATAAAAGATCTTTTTTTGAATTTAATGAGAAGATATTTTTTTAGGCAAAATGTTACAAAGTCATTAGATTAATATAATATATTTGACAGTCTTAATTTAAACTAATGTGGCGTGAACTATTTTAGCCATTTCCGACTGGCTTCAAGATTAACTCACTCGAAATAATTTAGCATTGAATTTCCTAACCCCAAGATTCGTCGTTTTAACCACAATGTTTAATTATAAATCTTTTTTGAAGTTAAACTAAAATAGCTATGAGAGAAAATAATCTTATCCGACGGTACGCATTTATGTATATAATGACGGATTAGAAATAAAAGTAAATCAACTACATATAAGAAAGTATTTTGTGCAAAAATCATTGCACAAGAGAAAATCTTGTATCTAAATACATTGAAGATTAAGATATGACTAATAATACCGTTGCATAAAGGCTTTCTATTTGAAAGAGAAACGGATTTGCTACTTGGTGTCTTATCAGATTAAATAAATGTGCCTATTAAAGAATTATATATAATTCTTTAATAGGATTATTTTATTGTATGATTGAAAAAAATTAGATTTAAGAAAAAAAATTAGATATTTTTTAGTAAATATAATTTAGCAGCAAATGTATGTTGATTTCAAATATTTTTTTTTTATATTTATCTTTAATAATTCTTATAATATTTAATGAATATACTTATATAATAGTTATATAGTTATCTAAACTCATCGTTTTAGATTTCTATAAACGATGTTATTTAAATTTATTTGTAAAATTCTTCAAAGAGAAGCGATTCTTTAATTATTTCAAAGGCAATGCAAATCTGTTTTTCCTTAAGAATCATAAGACACGCGTTTCTTCGTATTTTCATATTGCAGAATTAGTATTAACATCACTGATTCAAATATTGCGTTTCGGCTTACGTACGCGCGAATCTGTAAACTCTTCTAATCCGCATAATAGCGCGCGGTAACGTCTCGTGTTCATATTTTGCTGCGGTCGGTCGAAGAGAGCGACGGTGGCAGCTGAATTATTATCGCGATATGCATTGGGAATATTTAATCGAAGAGCAATGAGTCGTGCGGCTGCACGCTCGCATGCGTGTACGCGTCGCGTGCATACACACGCTTCGTAACGGGAATGATCGGCCAATCGCCGCCGCCGGTCAGAACGATAAAGCCGGAATTGATCCACGTATTTGTAAACCTGCACCGTATCGAAGTACGAGCTGCCGGCTCGTAAACCGTGGCCCCCGGGCTTTTACGGGTCATTTCGGGATCTTGATTTATCGGTTTGTGCGCGCGATGATCGCGAAATCGCGCGAAACAATGGATAAGGCACATTTCGCGTATCGTCTCCCTTCAATCGCGATTATTCGCGAATATCATCGAGTCACGCTCCGAAAATACACTTTTACGCAAAAACTTCACGTAACTTCGCTAATAATTAAAAATTTTTAGCAAAAATGTAAGATTATTTTTTGATGTGATATTATATTCTTCTTGGACGTGTGCTATATTAATAATTCTAATTGTGGTCTTTATTTGAAAAATGTGATCTTTTTATAAGGTCTTTTTAAATTAATTTTCTTGAACAATATTCTTTCTTAGAGAAAAGTAATTCTTTCTGATCATTTATTTTTATAATAATATTAAATTTGGATATATATAAAATTTATAATCTCTATATACACATGTAAACAGTTACGAGTATATTAAGATTTAATCTGAAAATTTCAGTTCTCTTATGTTATACATATATCTACGTATATATTGTTGAAAGAAAGTATCATTGTTTAGAGGCACCTTGTATAATGTAAATGTGGAGAAGGTTTGTTTAACGATGGGCGACTTTGAGAATTACTATCCTGTACACTCCTCAAGATTTACGATTGGTCTGACAGCATTTTCTCTCG